AACACATCCAATGATTGTGACTTCTCTCTAATCAAATATAGGTATCCAAATCTTGAATAGTCGTCTATGAATGTGATAAAGTATTGTTGACCATTCCAAGAGGCTATAGGAAATGGTCCACAAATATCTGTATGAATCAATTCTAAGATGTCTGAAGCTTTGTTGGAACCTATTTTCCTTATGTTTGTCTGTTTTCCCTTTATGCATTCAATGCACACCTCAAAATCATCCAGATCAAGGGGTTCAAGAATTCCATCAGTCACAAGCCTTTGAATTCTCTGTTTAGAGATATGACCTAAACGCTTGTGCCACAGAACCAGTACCAACAAACTAAAGTGAGAGTCATACCCTTCTTTTCGCGCCATGCCTTGTATTTGGAACACTCTTTCTTCGTGTGTCCAGATTTCTTACAAAAGAAGCAGGTGGATTCCTGATCCTGCTTCTTTTGCTTCTTTGGCAAAGTATCTGCATTATCCTTAGCTCTCTTTCTCTTCTTGTCTTGAGAGGTTGATGCCAAGTGAGCACTATTTGTCTTCTCTCACTGTAACCTCTCTTCCTCTTGCACGCAGTGAGAAATGAGCTCATTAAGAGTTCATTTATCCTTTTGAGTGTTATAACTCACCACAAATTGACCGTATTGTGCAGGAAGAGAGATAATAACTAAGTACATGAGCAACTCAGAGGGCAGCTCTAACTTTAATGCCTTTAGTTTTCCAGCAATATTAGACATTTCCATAATGTACTCCCTTATGTTTCCCTTTCCTTTATACCTCATGTTTATAAGTTTGGACAACGTTTGACCAATTTCAGCCTTTTTTCAGAAACAACTTGGCATCAGTAGTCTCAACAATCGAGCCCCTAAACGCCTCCGGAACGGAACGTTTCATGATCATCAGACACATGCGATTTGAGCGTTCCCACTTCTCAATTTTATCCGTGTTTGGATTTTCCTGAGTGGAAGTGGGTTTCTCAGTCCTTAGCGCATAGTCGAGATCCATGCAGCCGAGAACAATTTCCACATTCTCTTTCCACAGCTTGAAATTTGCCCTATTAAGCATTGGAAGCATATTCATTTGAGCAACATAATTGGCAGCGGTAGCAGAAACTATACAGAGAACAAAAAAGATAACATACTAATAACATGTCATATCATATATATACATACACGATATAAACAAACAATCCGAAGTAAAATGAGTTTATTATAAGATACCTAGCACAACATTAATATTTAGTCTGTGGACAAAAATATCAAATTGTAAGTGGTACTCTTAATGTAGTAATCAAACATTGACAATAAGTCCTGTCAAATCATAGCCTTCCTGTGGGCCGACTATGAATTACATGGAGAATTCTGGATAATTGTCACACATTTATTACCACGGGTATGTTTGTTACTTGGCCAAATAATAACCTTCATGTGGGCCGATCACTATCCGCATAAGCAATAAACACACACATGATCACACAATATATGTTATTTGGCCAAACAATAACTTTCCTGTGGGCCGATTATTATTTGCATAAATAAAATATATTTATATGACCAACCTATTTGAAATCAAATTAACCTTTATAAATTTGGCCACTGTGGCGGCTAACAAATCTATCATATTCAATTTCAAATAGAAACTTTTAGAGATAATAAACACATTTAAAAATAAAATAACAACAATAAAGAAAATTATTCTTTATCAATTCTCAATGTATATAAATATACATATTGTATCATTATATCATTATATCAATAACAATAAATATCTTTTCATTATAAGGCTTAAAAATTAATGCACAATCGACGCACATGTAAGTCTTTTCAAATGAAAGACTGAAAATGATGCACACAATATATACTTTTTCATTATCATGCTTAAAAATTAATGCACATGTAAGCCTTTTCAAATGAAAGCTTGAAAATAATGCACAATACCCAAAAATTTAAATTTGGCTTTTGACAAAGAATATCAAATCTAAAAGAAAATCCCAAAACCAAAGACCTTAAACATTCGATTTCTTTCAAACTATAAGTCCAAAACATTCTAAGAGAATTCATTGTTTATTCAAAAAATTCAAACAACAAAACCTCATCGATTATAAAGCCAAAATTCTTCCAAACATTCCATATATTCACAGATTCAAAATTTAAATAATAAACTCTTATTAAACTGTGAATCCTAGTTTTTTCTAAAAAATGTAGCTTTTGTTCCAAAACCAAAAATCACCATCAGGGAACAAAAATAACACTACATAGCTAATACAAAATACATGAGATGGAACCCACGTTCAAAAAATAATAAACTTTATGCCAAAAGACAATAAAGCAAAACTTTTCATGATTAATCATATATAAAAATCACAAAACTTAATTCCCTCATAATTCAATATGATGATGACTCTGATACCAATTGTTGGAATTTTTTAATTCCTCTAAACCTTATGGTGATAACTATCACCTACAAGCCAAGATCCGTCATACCAAATCATAAAGAAAAATAAGAACAACATAAAGGTGGAGGCATACCTGTCTCCATTGCAGCGGAATAACTTTTATCTTGTCTCTTGGGGTTTGTAGTCTTCCTCGGTCAAATCACCCTAAAACCTTATTCCTTAGTGTGCCGTCTCTCTCTTGATGGGGAAGAGAAACTAGGGTTGTTCATTTGACGTATTGGGGACCATAACCCTTTTTTATAGTGTTTTTATCTTTATTGTTGGGCCAATAAGCTCCCATTATACCTAGTTGGCCCAACACCGGTATCCACTCATTCAGCCCATACTCACTTAGGAATCTATTTGGAAATATTTAACTGATCACTTTAATTTACCCAATATATATAAATAGCACAATATAATTATTAATATAATATGTGACCCACAATAATTATTAGAAAATATAATTTCCTAACAGTTCCTAGATTGAGGAAAGGACTTCCCTTGGAAATAGCCCTCTGTGGATCTCCATGTGGTAAGAGCCTAAGAGAAACAGCCCTGAGTGGATCTCTCTTGGAAGTCCATGTGATGCTTGTGGATAAGAATGTGTTAAGCTATTATGATTATGTGTACATCGAAAGTGAACCTTAGGGTGGAGTGATCTCCAAGGACCTCTGGTTTACTGTGATATATTCGTATATCTCACCCTGTGTTGTGGGGCATCATTTCAGGTACTGATAGAGGTGAGGTTGATCGAGGCAAGAAGCATGAGTAGACTGTACCTGATAGCTGGATATTTTGAGTTGCATGCCATTTATAATTGCTATATGTATATTTTGATGTCACAATATGTATTTTGAGGGACTTAGTGCATGATCATTGTAGTGATGAATGCCTTGTTGTAAATGGCTTATAGCTTTGATCATGTTCCTTTTGTAGCTAAGTCCTTTGGCATGTATATGAGATTTGTAATTAAGACATGATGTAATATTGTAACTAATGGAGATGTATGTATGATGAAATGATATGCATGCTTCTCTTAGTGTATGAGTACCTTGAAAGCTTAGAATTCATGTAGTGAAAGGACTATATGATGTCAATTAGGTCAAAGAGGACCATGGGTTTGAAAATCCATGTAGAAATATAGACATCTTGTCTTGTGGTCCATTTTTCGTATCCTATGTGATAGATTTGGACTCTTGTGTCTTTATGGAAGTGGTAGACAATCTTCTTAGCTTTCCATAGAGACCAATATTGTGTAATTTGGATGAGTACAACTCAAGTTATGGGTAGAATACCATAGAAGGTCAAATTGTCCTGTTTTTGGGTGTTTGCTGTAGAACAGTCACGCTATGAGCGTGAGATTCACGCTCTAAGCGTCAACCCCACTGTCTGCCCACGCTATGGGCGTGGGGGTCCTGGGAATTTTGCACCCTTTTCTTAGAAAATGCATAACTTGAGCTACGGTGCTCCGAGGCTAATAAAGAATCCTATAATATTTTGGGAAGATTGAGACCATAAAGGCAGTATAGTAATTTCTTATGTAAACAAAGAGTGGATACGTATAGTGTGAGATGAGAACTACAAAGTAAGTACAAGTTGTACAATTTAATAAAAAGAAAAGAGAGTTTAGTATTGAACTTGAACAAATAATAATATGATGTTAAGTCTAGTTCTGATTATTCTGCAAGGTAATAAGGTTATGGTCACGCAATTAGTTATTTTAAACTCGGCATTGTTAATGAGGAAAAGCAAGTAAGTTTTAAAAAGAAAATGAAATTTATCCGGGTTTTTAATTGAACCAATGTGATTGTAATTGCGCTTAATATCATAAAGCAATGTTAACAAATCGGTTCTAGAACGGGGTGTTACAAAACGCGTTACCCGAAATTAGTAAAAAACATAGTTTAGTAAAACTGACATAACTCGAGCTACATAGCTCAGATTTGAGTGCGGTTTGAACTCACTCGAAGCTAATAAACAGATCTATAATATAGTAGGAGATGAGAACTATAGAGAAAGTATAGAATTTATATAATAATAAAAGAGATGAAGACACTTAACAACATGTGGTCTAATAAAATAAGAAATGATGTTAAGCTTAGTTTCATTTATTCCGCAATGTCATATGGTTATGGTCACGCAATTGGTTATTTTAAATTTGGCTTTGTTTAAAAAGAAAATTTATCCGGATATCTAATTGAATCAATGTTATTGTAACGACGCTTAATATCATAAAGCAATGTTAACAAACCAGTTCCAGAACGGGATGGGGTGTTACAGTTACATAGGAATGAAATGAAATTCGGTGTTTTTCACATTTTGGGATCGTTAGAGTTTTAGATTTGCTTTTATTTCTGGTGGCATTTTCATAATACTACATTTTAGTTTAATAGTTTTTTAGGGTTGTTTAAGAATCAAATTATTGATTGTTAATTTTTTGTATACTTGATAATCTTTTGTTAGAATGAGCGTTTCTTTGATCAATTCTATTTGTCCTCTTTAATCAATGTTCCGTGTTTCGGCAAAAAATTTCTTAAGAATCTTTATTATATTATGAGAATTACTTTGAAATATCATACAAAAGAAAACGATGCTAGTTTTCTACGTATAAACAGAGCATTCATTAGAAAATGTCTGGTAATCACTAAGCTAGTGCATATCACATATGGAACAATGGAAAATATGCACTCAGTTGATCCCTTCACTTCCTCCCGAATCTTTTCTTTAAAATCTTTTCTCCCATATACCTGCATCAAATAAATGAAAGAGTAACACCAGATATGTATATCAAAGGATCACCATTATCAAATAGTAAGTCATGGGAATGACTCTTATGTCTCTCCATATGAAAATTTTCAATTATTTATTGATAGATCAAAGACAAGCATTTAAAAATGATAATTTCCACTTTTCCATCTTATGAATTTAAATCATTAAAATTGTCGTTGTAGATCTATCAATGAATGATTAAGATTTTTCAAGTGATATGCTAACATTAAAAAGAAACATGCAGGATTTGCCTATGCTTACCTTCCAAGCATCATTACTGTAGCTTGAGGATTAGTCCCCGGTGAGCGATAAAAGGTGGATCCATCAATTACCCTCAAAGCTTCCACACCAATAACCTTATAATTATGATCAACAACCTTACCAGGTTGACAGCCTCCATGGTAATGCCAAATTGTTAGGACAGTATCTATGCAATATTGTTCCAGAGAAAATGCAGCATTAGCATGTTTTGCCCTCAAGTTCACTTGCAAGTGCAACATCAAGTCTATTAGAGCTTCCACGGGCATGTTGTGATAGCGGAACTTTGAGAATGCTTTTGAGTTTATCACATCTATGATGGTTTTCATGCCTTCAACACACATCCTTAAGTCTTCTGGATCCTTAAAATAGTTGAAGGTAACTGATGGATTATCATTGGGATCAGTGGTTAGTAGCTCCAAATGGCCCGTTGACCGTGGTCCCATAATCTTTTCAAGTATGACTCCTCCTTTAAGAATTGGATTGGCTAAAGATCTAATGGTATCTGCAACACTCTCCTTCGCTTCTGGGGGAAGCATGGTGGTGGTTTGGCCAGTCTTCAAATGAGAGCAAAGTTTCAGAGTAAGTTCCCTTTATTAGGAAAAGAAAAAACTAAAACTTCTAACTTCAAGGTGTTAAGGGTGAACACATTCAGTTTAAATATGAAAAAAGTCACCTAGTAGTATAAAAAATGAAATGACATTAGTGGATATAAAACTGGCTAGAATATTACTTGGTAAATGGTAACCAAAGTGTTATGCGATTCAGTTTGTGCAATTAAACTTGATTTCACCCGATGGATGTTGGTAGTAGTGGGATACTGACCTGGTTTGACACAAATTCAAAGATCCCTTGAAGCCTTTCAGACCAAGAATGGCCAAAGCTCAATCCACTGGCTGTTTCAATGAAGCTACCAAACTTAGTGATGCCCACTGTTTGGATCAGAGAGACTTCAACAGGTTGAGGGGAAGGAACCACTAGAACGTTCATTGGATTATCTGCCATACCTTGACCAACCAAGGGCTGATCCAAAATCACTTTTATTCCATGAGCCTGAAGATGGTTAGCAGGACCAATTCCACTCAGCATAAGCAGTTGTGGGCTTCCAATTGCACCAGCTGATAATATTATCTCATTCTTGGATTTCTTGGTTAAGTATGCTACATGCATTTTTCCAAATGCATCTTTGAATATTACTCCATAAGCTTGTGGCCTCCCTTTCTCTGTTAAAAAAAAAAAATTCAATTAACATTATGATCATCAAATTGATGAATGAAATCAGTGAGGAATCTATATTATTGAATCCTTACCTCTATTATACCTAAATAGTATCTTCTGCACTGTGGCATGCAGATAGACAGAAATCCTTCTTGGATCAGCATACTCTAACAAATCAGCAGCAGTGTGCCTGTTACCCTCCTTATCAAAAATTGTCCCTCCAACCTTAGTCCCATAAAAGTGATCAAAAGTAAAACCATTGTAAGGCAAAACCCCTACTTCAAGCAACCCATTTTTCACTGCCGATTGCCATTGCAGCATTGGAGGCTCAAAAACCACCTTCTTTTCAACCCATTTATATGAGTTCTTAGCCAAAGTTTCATTCCAACCTGATTCCCTTATGTATCTGAAGCTAGCCCTTGAGTAGAACCCAGCATTCAAGACAGAGCCACCACCCAGGACACGAGCCCGGGCATTGAGGACCCCATCCATGGATATGAATTGCTGGGCAAATGATAAAGGACTTGTGTCAGAGAGGGTATTAACAAAGTTCTTTATGTTAATTTGCTCTGGGTTTATGTAAGGAGAACCTCCCCTTTCAAGGACTAAAACTTTGGCACCTTGTGAGAGAGTTGCTGCCAGTGGACACCCACATGTTCCTCCACCAATTATTATGTAGTCATAATATAAGATTGGTGGAGCAGAAGTTGCTTCTCTGACAAAGGTATACTTTGGAGCTGCATAAACACATAGAAAGAAAGAGATCAAAGAAAATGGCTGATATGAAAAGGGTTCCAAAAGAGACACTGCCTACCTATTAATCAACTTAACAGAAGAAACTTAAATGAGTTGTTCTTGTCATTTTTCTATTCTCAATTCGTTGATTAAAAAGGTTGAAGAAAACAATTAGAATTAATGATAAAATCAACTTCATGATAAAGAAGGAATATAGTAAAAGTTTTCAAAATGAGAATTTGGACTCCACATTAAAGCATTACCTTTATGAGAATAAGATAAGTCATTAAAGAACAGGCTCACAGCAAGAAATGCCCATATAAATTGCTTGAACGCCCAACCCATTGTTGTCTATCTTCACTTGTTAGAAGAGCTAGAGCAATTTGCAGTCTTCTCAGAATCCAAGCCCAACTGCTACCCTTTTTATAAAATATTATAACCAGAAAATTAAAGTCACTGCTTCATGCACAACCCTTTGCTCTTGAAATAAAATTTGTTTGTTCAACAACATCCAATTTGCATCCTACTCCATACAAAGATTCAGTGTTCTTGAAACTTGTTGAAATGCATGAAGTGTGAAAATGACATCAATCGGACATCTTAAATTCACTTGGAATTTGTTCTTCAAAATAACTTGTGTTTAACTAAAATAGCATCGATTACGTAAAGGAGTTGAAAAAAAAACTCTCAAGATTAGAAAAAGCACAACGCGTTAAAGTCTTGCTATTCAAGGCAATGTTTGATGTATAAGGTATTGAAATAATATTTCAACAATTTATAAAATTCTTAACTTACATTAATAACATCATAGCAGTAAATTCCACTTGAGTCAGAGTCATGAACATTATATTTAAATTTGTTTTTATGCTAATATCCCACTTTGTTCCTGTTTAAGATACATCCAAGAAATTACAGCTAATAAAATTGTAAATACACCACTTGGTCTGAGATTCTAAGGTAATTGACATAGATAGTAATTTGGTTATATGTATTAACTATTAAGTTCAAGTAATAATAATGACTTGTGTGTTAAGAAATCAAATAGAGCTGAAAGTGTAGATACACTCTTGTCAATGGGACACTAAACAATTACGGATACATTTTGTGAGGTTAGTCAAATGCGAAGAATAGCATGAAGTCCTTTCTGCGTAGGCCTATTATTCTCTTTTGTCTCGCCTCTCTGCTTAAGCAACCAATGACTTAACCATTTTGCATTTCACGTTTCTCATCTTTCATTTAATGGACAATTATTTTTGCCCTCATACTTCAATGTAAAAAACTGTACTTGAGGGGGGAAAATAAGTAGTTCCTTAACAAAGGTCTGATTGCGTAGTTTTGTTTGTTATTTTTGCAAAGGGGTATTTATGATTTTATTTTTTTTAATACGGTAAGGGTATCTTCTGTTATCTTTCACATCAATGAAATTAAGTTTTGCCTGAACTGTAATGTTTAAGAGCGTAATCATCCCTTACATTAAAAACCAAATTATCAACTACCAAAAAAATGAAAACCAAATTATAAATGTAAGAAACCTACCTCCTTAAATATTAACCCAACTCCTCGGTTTACTATTATTATTATTTTTAATTATATAGTTTATTTTAAAAAATTCTACATTTTTGTTTAAAACGTAATGTGCTCATAAATGAGTTATTTGAATAAATAATGTATCCCAGGCCATTGGGCTAAAAGTCTTGTAGTCATTCTTTTAATGGACTAAGTGCTACTTTTTATGGGCTTACCCAATAAAGAAATGTATGGTTTAAAGAAATAGAATAATGTGTCCCCTAAATCCAAAAGTGGAACAAATCAACTACCCAATAAAATATTGAAGCGGTTCAACTGCCACGGTAGGCCTTAATGATGATTTTCTTGAAAAAGAAAAAAAAATGAAGAAGAAGGGGGTACAACATATAATTATCTTATGAAGAGTAACACAAGTATTAGATGATGTTGCTTAAATTGTTAATACGACAACTTAATTCAATTAAAATTAAAATAAATTAGTACGATAGTATTTACTACTTATATAGTCATGTAATATAGATAAGCTTACGTGTAGAATTTTTTTTTTGGGGGTGGGGTTTTCCAGAAAGAAAATCATTTTAATTAATTGTTTGATCAAGCATCAACATATTTGCATTGGACTTGATGCGAGATCTATTAGGAAAAATCAAATTAACGTAAAATTACTATTTATTCCAACCTCCAGAGTCAAGAAAATTGGATGCCGCAACTGATGGGGACATGTGAGAATTATGATCCTCTCCTCCGGCCTTGCTAACCTGTAGTCCAGATTGAGGTGAAAGAAATAACAGTTGTTATTGATTAATCAAACATGTGAAGGGGAAAAAAAAGGAAACTGGCTATAAACTGAAAGATGTTAATATATATTTTGGTTAGTAGAATTTCTTGGATCACCCAATGATTTTTATTTTTTTCTCTCGAACAGAGTATACATGTTCTGGACTGGTGTCATCGTTCAAGATTATGGGTTAGTCTTTAAGGTTCAATAATTAAGGAATTATTCACTTGTATTTTTATATATAGTGAGCATATAGACCTCATGATAGAAGATTTCTTACTCCCTTGTACAACCGGCCATAATACATGTCGTTGATATATTTCCTCACTCAGAGCAATGAGGTGATTGGAAAAAAAGGGCTATGGTTATTCTTTCTCTTATCACATAATATTTTTCACTTATATCTCTCCCTCTTCACCTGTTGAATAGACATCTCTGCTGAAAAATAAAGACACTTAATCATATGACCCTCGTAGTGATATGCTTGACCCATCAAAAGATATACACCCAACTTTACTACACCAAAAGCTCAATACCCCTAATTCTAAAGCCTACGGGTAAAATCTATATATCCAAAAAAAAACTTTATTAGTTACAAATGGATGAATAATAATTTTGCATTATGTTTATAAAATTAGTATTTTGACCGGCACTAGTATACGTGGATAAATTTTTCAAACAAAATGCTATATGGTAAAAATATTTAGAGTTTTAATATATTTTAAAAAAAAAACTCATATATCATTATTATTTAAAAAAATAACATATGTTTTAATTAAAAAATCTTTTTTTCTTTTAAAAGCACAAAAAATGAGCCCTTTCTCTTAGTTTGAATTTTGTACTCTCTTGTTAGGATTCAAAAAATTCATAATAATGAATACATTTAAAGTTAACTATAATTATAGAGTGATAAATATTTACAATTTTGTTAATTTTATATTTATTTTAAATATTTAAATGAATATAAAAACATTACTTGGAAAGATTCTCACGTCATTTCCCGAAGTTTAAATGAGACCGTATGGTCACTCTTAGCAACAGTTACTACCTTTGGCTTTTATCAACTTTGCACGCATTGAAACTACAGAATTTCAGAGAGAGAAGTTTCAAGTTCATAAGAACACATGTTGGAACGGTCAACTCATGAAGTTGAAGCCACTAGAATTAATAATGCGACTAATTCTTTTCTAAATCCTAGTCTATAACATATATATCAACAAAATTCCTGAAAAGTTCCGTTATCTTTTTCTTCCGGAGGAAGAATAATATGTCAGCTTTGTATTTACCAAACCAAAAGCTTACTTGCAAGAAACAGAAGCAGAAGTAGTTATACATCAACTTTGCAAGATTTTTCACCTTTTCTCTTTGCTTTCAAGTACAAGAGTTTTTATCTTTAAGCCAAGCCACAAAATTGACACTTCTTGGTTTGACCAAGTATGAAGCCAAAGCTTATCCAAATATCCTTCACACGCTGTGTGGAGAAGGCAATCTTCATATACCCTTTAATAGCTCATTCTGAAACTGTTTGTTCCTTGAAAATGATCTTAAAAATAACCAGAAAGGAGGGGAAAGCAAAAAATAAAAAAAAAGTAACGAAAAAATACAATTAAGGCACCATATAAGTTACCCTTGAATTTTCTATAAAGAAGGAACAAGATATTCCTCTACGGTTTCTCCAGTGAGCTTTGTAATCCAATGATGTTGTGCTTCCTATAAGGCCCTGAAGGTGGGACTGGCATTGCTTTTGGCAAGAAGCCAGAGAAGTTTGGAGACAAAGCCTGAGCCTTTGGTTGCACTTTGAAAATTTGAGTGTGTCTAGAACCATAACTGTGGCCAGCAAAATATATCAGCAACACTAGCAATACATAAAGATGTCTTCTATCCATTTTGTCCCACAAAGGGAGTTTCCTTTATAGCAAGAGAACCTCAGAAAGCGAAAAAAGTGAGACTGAAATAGAGAGGGTTATATATGTTTAAGGGGGGAAAGGGAGGATAATGAATGCTGCAAGCTACAAGATTGTTTCACGCATACGTAATAAATGAAGAAAAAATTTGTGGAGTGCATGCTTGTAGTGCCAAAGTGGCTTGTTTGTGAAGTATATATATATATATGAAAGAAATGCTACCAACAACGAAGAACGAGGCCTGTGTGCGCGGAAACATGGGGAGGGAGTAAATGCAGGGTCATGTGCTTTAAGATTTTGCTGTTGGTAGTGATATTTGTATTAAGATTTTGGGGGCTTGTAGCAATAAATGAGACAACATGAAACTATAGTCCTTTCATCCAATTATAAAAGAGACTACTAGGAAAGCCTTTAATTATTAAATTGATATTAATTCTGATTATTAAATCTTGTAAACTATACATAACCACCATATTCTAGTTAATTATTAAATTGATATTAATTAATTATGATTGATATCAATTAAAATTATTGTATTTATTACATTATTATTTTAATTTTATTTATGGTAGTCAGTAAGGATTAGGCTGATGTAATAAATCAACCTAACCAGTTTCTTAAATACAAGACCTATAACCTAGAATATCATATTGAATGAGATACTGAGGGTTCGTTTGGTGGACAGAATAGAATAAGGGTATGATATGATATGGGGCTAATAAGGGTAGGATATGATATGAGGCTGATAAGCCTATATCATGTCATGTGTTTGATGAGTACCTTATTAGCAATCTGATAAGATTATGTAAAAGGAGAAAGGAGAAAGAAAAAATAAAATATAATGCAATAAATACAAATATATTGAGTAGCGTGGGGATATATTGGGTAGGGTGGGGATATATTGGGTATCCAATATTGGTATCCTATCCTAAAGAATCCTAATCCAGCTCCCCATATAAGATAAGAAATCATGTATTAGATTGGATAAATTGAGACAATAAGATAAGCTAATCATATCTTATTGACCCACCAAACAAGAGATAAAATAGAATATGATAAGTTATCATATTCTATCTTCTTTATCAAGTGCTCTAAACAGGCCCTAAATTTCTTAAGATCGATAATTGTTATGCTGCTTTTCGAGTATTA